TAGTTTAGTTCCACTTATATAGGCATGACCCTTCTGGAATCTCTAATGAGGGCCCTGGGCAGTTAACAAAAACTCTCTTTTCCAACTGGTTGAAACTCTAGCATCTTCCAGCCCTGAGTGAACTATGTAGATTTTTTTCAGTAGGTTCCTGAGTTTACACCTTTCTGATCATCCTTTACCTGGCTTCATGGAGTTTCTTACTATACCTGGGAGCTCATTCAGCCAAAGACTAGGGGGAACCAAAGGCTGAATTCTGTGTTCCTCCTCTGGGCAGGTTCTTCCTTTCAGATACCCTGCCCCTCAAATTAGCCGCATTCAGTTCAGTCGCTCAGTCATGTCTGACTCTTTGCCACTCCATGGACTGCAGCATGCCAGGCTTCCCCGTCCATCATCAACTCCCAGAGCTTTGCTCAAATTCATGTCCATTGAGTCGGTGATGCCATCCAACCATCTCATCCTCCATCAATCCCTTCTCCTCCTGCCCTCAATCTTTCCCAGAATCAGGGTCTTTCCAATGAGTCAGTTCTTTGCATCAGGTGGTCAAAGTATTGGAGTTTCAGCTTCAGCATCAGTCCTTTCAATGAATATTCAGGACTGATTTCATTCAGGATTAACTGGTTGGATCTCCTTGTAGTCCAAGGGACTCTCAAGAGTCTTCTCCAACACCACAGTCCAAACCATCAATTCTTCGGCACTCAGCTTTCTTTATAGTCCAGCTCTCACATCCACACATGACTACTGGAAAAACCATAGCTTTGACTAGGTGGACCTTTGTTGGCAAAGTAATGTCTCTGCTTTTTAATATGGTGTCTAGGTTGGTCATAGCTTTTCTTCCAAGGAGCAAGTGTTTTTTCTTTTTTGTTTTTGGAGCAAGTGTTTTTTAATTTCATGGCTGTAATCACCATCTGCAGTGATTCTGGAGCCCAAAAAAATAAAGTCTGTCACTGTTTCCAGTTTTCCCATCTATTTGTTTTCTTATCTATTAGTTGCATTATTTCCATGTTTCCCCATCTATTCCATTGTTTCCCCACCTATTCCATTGTTTTCCCATTTTTAGTTGCATTAGCCTCTCCAAATTCTGAATTTTGGTTCCTTGATACAGTGAGACTGTCACATTCTGCTTGGATTTCTCCTTCCCATGTTTTGGTCCAGAAAGTAGGTCCAAGCAGTAAGCCAGTGCAATCGTTTCTCAGGAAGAACAGTCCTGCACTGTCTGTGGTCCAACTGTCTTAATCCATTCATGTTACTATAACAAATACCAGATCAGGTGACTGAAAAACAGCAGAAATTTATTGCTCACAGTTCTGGAGGCTGGAAATCCAAGATCAGGGTACCAGAATGACTGAGTGGGGGCCTTCTTCCAAGTCACAGACTACTTCTTTTGTTCTCACATGGCAGAAAGGGCAAGGGGTCTCTCTAGAGCCTTTTTTTTCCCCTAGAGCCTCTTATAAAAGTATTGACCCCAGTTATAAAGGTTCCTTCCTCATTACCTAATCACCTTCCTAAAGCCCTACTTCCTAATACCTTCCTAACGATAATCATCTTTGGAAGTTTGGATTCAACATATGAATTTTGAGGGGTTCACAAACATTCAAGACCATAGCACAAATAAAAACTGTGGGTTCATATGTTTTGTTCATTTTCCTAGTTGTTTATGGTTGGAGTATAAGTCTGGTTTCAGTTGTTCCATCACAACCTGAAGTGGAAGAAGTCTCAATCTTCTTTGTCTGGAAGCAGATGCTCTCTAAAACTTGCATTCATTTTGTTTTTTAAATATACCTAAATCCTTTTTTATCTTTTCTGCATTAATTCCCCATTTCTATGAGACCTACCTGCTATGTATTTCCTTCTCAAAAACTGCTCTGGCTACTCCTCTATGTTTATTCTTCCATACAATCTTTAGGCCCATATGATCAATTTCTCCCAACTGGCCTTAACATCTGATAGAGATGGAATTAAATATATAGATTAATTGGAGGACTGACATCCTCCACAATACTGACCATTCCCATTTCTCTTACCCAAATACAAACTATATCTCTTTGTTTATTAAAGTCTACTTAAGTGTCATTAATTAGTTTGCTTCAAACAAGTCCTACATATCTTTTACTTTTATTCCTCAACATTTTATACATTTTTGTTAATTTTCTGAAATAGTTTATTTCCATGATTTTTTTTCTAGCTAATTACAGTCATTAAAAGAAAGCAAGATATTTTTATATTAATTTTGTACCCACCAAACTATTAGGCACTCTTATTAGTTATAATGGGTTTTCATGGATTTCCCCTTGGTTTTCCTGGGTGATGACTCATCTTATCTATAAACAGCAATTTGGTCTCCTTTTTAGTAGTTATGTTTTTTTCATTATTTTGTCTGATTACAGGAAAATATTAAATAATAGTAGTGCCCATACTGACTTTCTCTCCAATTTCAAAGAAAATACTCCAGAATTTTACCATTAAATAGGATTCTAGCTCTTGATTTATATATATTTTTTAAATAATGTTAAGGGAATACACACTTATATTATTTAGGGTTTTTATCAGGAAGGATATTTAACTTCATAAAATTCTATTTCATCAAGTATTTTATCCTAACCACTATATCACATGTCATATTAGTAGGGATATATATTATATTAATAGTTTTCTTAAAATTGGATTATCCTTATGTATCTACATCCTATTTGGTAACTGGATTTTTAAATATATGACTATTTTATAAATGTATTACTATTTTATTTATGATTTTTATATCTACACTCATTAATAAGATTACAGTCTACTTTTTTGCTTTGTCAGAAATAGAATTATCCTAATTTTATAAAACACATTTATATAAAGCATAATCAAGAATAAAATTATGAGAAATAAAGCCTAAGCATCACTAGTAAGTCTCCAAATGCCCACTTTTTTAATAATTAAAAAAAATGTTTTGGGGTGTAATTGATTTAAAATGTGTTGCCCATCGTATTTTAAACATTTATTTTTTCTTCAGATTCTGAAGTTAAGGTAATAAGGTCGTTTTTTTCCCACCCCACCTTACATTTTAAAGTATAAGTAGTATATATATATTATAAATACATTCCTGAATAGTAGCTTATAAGACAAAATTCTATCTTTCAAATACCACTATCTCCAAAACTCACTTTAAAAACTTAGGAAATATTACAGATACTAGTGGCTTTTCCTTCTTCTAGGAATTTTCTTCCCCAGGTGTTTCTACAGCTCAATCCCTTATGTTATTTATTGGGTCGACACTAAAATGCCACCTTCTCAGAGAAGCCTTCCTTGTCCATTCTAATCAAAATATCCTACCAATTCTCTATCTACCTCTAGCCCTGATTTATTCTTCACAGCCATTCTGAAATATTTTATCCCCGGTGCCTAAAAAAGTAACTGACATTCAGTAAGAGGTCAATTAGTGTTTGTTGAAGGAATAAATGAAATGAAAGTAAGTAGGCATCCACAGGACATAATGTGAAGAAAAAGTTCCCGAGAACAGTTTCCTCCTTTCTGGTGACACTCTTCCTAAAATGCCTATGACCACCTTTTAAGAATACTGCATAAATCATTAGTCAATAATGTCTTGGCAAAATTATTTTCATTTGTCAGATTCTTTCTTTGGTAATAATCAGTTTGTCAAGCCATGAACACATGGGATTCCATGTAAATGAAGGGAGGTATAGAGAGTCTTCCAGAAACAAAGTGTTCTATTCATTTTCCCATAATGGTGGTACCCAGTCACCACAAGGTAAATATATTCTGCCAACTGTTCTTAGCAGCTTCCCCCACAGAATTAATATCAACAAAGTAAAACCACGGGGCAAAAAGAAAGTACCTGAAGAAGCAAGTACTGGATGATACTGGCGGGACAGAAATCCTGAGTCCCTCATTTCCTGGATGAATCATACTTGGAAGAGACCATACAGAAAGTGAAATTTCAAGAAGGAAGTAGGAATTGATTATGAAAATAAAACATGTTCTTTACCTTTGTTTCTCTTAGTAGATTTTCAAACAGTTTTAGATTCAAATACAACAGGAATATTTCAATTATCAAGTCCACTGAAAACAAACCCACTGAATTTGCCCATAGCTATCTCGGAAGACTGAAGAGACACCAAGCAAGCGAGAAAAAGAATCCAGACGCCAGAATCCAGACACACAGTCTGACATCCTAACTTGTATCTCAGATGTAATACTAAGTACCAGTAACAGCAGTATCTTTCACAGAATGTAGAAAAAACAAACTTTTTTCCTCTATTTTCCCATCTTATCTCTGGCCAAATATTTGACCATTGTTGTGACAGTATTATTATATTTTAATTTAGATAATTCCTAATAGTCAGTCTTTACCAAATGTTGGGAATAAAAGCCAGGCCCTCAAAGTCCATGTATTTCTGGTACTGTTGTTTTCTACTCCTATCTCTTATTCTTTAATGTTATCAATAACAACAAAAAAACAAATACACTAACATTCCAAAATTCTTCAAGTATAAAATTTCAAAACCGAGTTACTCTTATTTAAACATTATCTAAATTCTTAAGTATAAATAATATGTAATTAAAATACAACGGATTCTCACATGAATTAGAACAATCAAAAGACAACGGTAACAACAAAAAGAGATACAAAATTCTAAAGTAAGATGAATAAAATATCGGGATTTAGGTGCAGTATTTACTTATATACTCTAAAATCCAAAACAATGGGTTTTATCAGAGATTTACATTTATTTCTCAGCTAACACTACTGTCTTCTTTCTTTTTTCCCTCCTACTTCATTCCAAGATATGGAAGCTCCAACAACTCAGGCACCTCAGGCCCAGCACTACCTCCCTCAACTTTCTAGTACCTAATTATATGGGGACACATGACAGAGACATACAGTCTCATGCACTATACATTTCTACTCTCAAATACCTGTTTCCCATTAAATTCATTACTTCATGCATTGATTTTATGAACAAAACAGAAATGTAATACATTGGATGGCTAACCTCTTGATTTTCTACTCCATTGCTGGGAAGCTCCAAAATAGAACCTCCACTGTCAACCACTGCTGATGTCATTGTTTACTCCCTGAGGAAGCTTCAAACGCTACCAATCACTGTAACTAAAGGTTCATGGATGATTGTCAGTGTTACAGGTTTGCATTATCATCTTTTAAAAGTCAATAGAGATGGAGTAGAGTTGATATCCAGAAATCCAGTCTTCTTAAGATGATTAACCAGAGAGCCTAAAAAGAAGAGTTTGAAAAATTATTTTTAGAAATACAAGGATATAAAGCACAAACCTATTTTGCAATAAAATTTTTTAACATTTTTATAAACTGAGAAAAAAAGAGCTAGGCTTATACAGCTCGTGTCAAAAGAGGGCAGTAATGAGCATTCCTCTTAGAGCAGTCAAGTTCACAATCTGCAGTTCTTACCAAGCTATTATTGCACATTGTCGATCTTATGATGTTTACATTCTAAGAAATAAAATGTTACAACTTTCTCCCCTTATGAAGATGTACTATTACTCCTGAAATAGTCTGGTAAAAATTTCTGAAATTTAAAAGAAGTTTTATGCACTAAAAACATAAAATGTGCTGGACCAAGACAACTTCTAGAATTATTCACCTATTTAACAAATTAAAAGATGTATTGGTTTGTAAATATTTCAGTCTTCCTTGGCTCATTTGGTTTGTTTATGTATATGAATTTATGTTTATGTTGTTTAGGTAGGTATATAAATAACTAATTAGAATTATCTTTTGCTTACAGTAGCAGGCTCATTTTGTGTTCACATTTTGTATACTCTATAAGGTCTGTAAAACAGATTAATTTGAGTTACTTATACTTTCAAATACAGTAGTTTGAAAATAAAGTAGTGAAATGACTTGGAATGCCTTTAATATTACTTTATCATTCTTTCTTCAATAAGTTTTTTGTTGTTGGTTCAAAATGCAATATAGCAAATGGTTTCAAGTAAACATAATTCAAGTTTTCTTCCCCTAGTGGAGATGAATGGCAATATGTACATCATCTTGATTTATGTATTAGATTATTTCTTAAAAGGTTACATTTTATTTGATTTTTGTGAACATTAAATATTTCACAAAGAAATCACAGGGCTTTTTAATAGAATTTTTCACACAAAAATTTCACACACAAAAAACTAAGCATATTTAAAGAGAAAATAATCATTTCTAATTAATCATTCCATTAAAAACACATCCTATGTTAAATATGAAAATAAAATAATAAAGAATTTCCATAAACTTCTACTGTAAATAGAAAATTCCTGAAAAAAGACAGAAATTTCACCTCACTACCTAAGACCCATTCAGTACTATTAGTCTTCTTCTTGATCTTATCAACAGAAAATGCGATAGGAAATATTTGTATCTTAAGAATAAAAACTAAGAGAAATCCTCAATCCCATCACATTGAATCTCACTATTATCACATAAGGTAACAATTATTTTCAATTTCTGTTTTCTAATCATACAGATAATAATAGCAGAAATAGATTTTACTTACAATTTGAATGTTAAGTAGTCTAAGCATCCTTCACTAGTTTCACAACTTGGCAAGAGTTAAAATATAAACCAGCAGTACTCTGGAACTACTAATGGGGGGGAAAAATACAGTATTAATATAACTCTACTAAAAATATTTTATTCAAAATAGATGTGATTCAGACAATATGTACTTACTACAACAAATCATCTCCAAGCCTGATGGCACACATTTTATAATGAACATAATAAATTATTTCTAAGCTACTGAAGAATCAAAAGTTTTTTAACAGACTTAAAGTTTTAAGTCATCACTAAATGACAATTACTGAATAACAACAGATTCCCACATACACAGGCTATACCCCACATTATGGGCTATATTTCAATCAACCAACAGGAGGATTTTAACACATGGCTGCAAGTATAACCCCAGAACTCCAGGAGTACTAAATCAAGTTTAAAAAGATTAATCTCAATTTTTAAAAATAATTAATTTTAAAAATTTAAACAAATTTTTAAATAATAATAAAAAAAGACTAACCCAGAAAACTACTACTGAACAACATTTAATATATTATTGCCTGTTAAACTCTCCTGCCATTCACTTTTTTTGCTCACTGTTCAAAAGTTACCATTCACACAAATCCAAACACTCCAAGCCTCCTCAAATAGCCCTTATGTTTTCTAAAGCTGATCTGCTGACAGATGCACTGGATCTTAGGCCTTGTTCCATTCATTATTCCTTCTTTTTCGTTATCTTTCTCTTTCTTAACACTGGGTTCTTTTCCTCAACATCCAAATATTTATAAGACTCTCTCATCTGTTTTTTTTTTTTTTTTTAATTTCTTGGCCATGCCACACAACATGTGCCCACGCCCACTATAGTAAAAGCATGGAGTCTTAACCACTGGACCGCCAGGAAAGTCAAGACCCTCTCATCTTAAACATGACTCCTCCCTGACCCTGCATAGCCCTCTAGCTACCACTCTAGTTTCTTCCTTTCTCAGATACAGTTCTACTTAAAAAAAAAAAAAAAATTGTTTAAACTGTGCCTCCACTTTCTGATTTCTACAGAAGTTTGGTATCCATCATCACCAAATGAAATTTTTATTAATTCTGGTTATCAAATCCAAAGGATACATTTCTGTCTTCATAGGACTTAATGTCTCTGAAACATCTGACACTGTTGATTATGCCCTCCTTGAAACTATCTTGAATTCTCCCTCTCCAGATACTCTTTTTCAATTTCCTGTTACAGGCCCACCCCTAGTTTTCAAGGAACTTTTAAGAGTACAAATGTAAGCCCATATACCATATGCTTAAATATTTTAAAGCTATAGACCAAACTAACAGGCTAGTAAATTTTATTCTATCCCACTATCTTGACATATATACTTTTATAAAAACTTAAAAGGCTAAGTTCTGATTTGGCATTCTCAGACTCAACATCAGTTGGGGGAAGGGGATGGGGAATGTGAAGACCATACTCCCCACCACCCTGCAGCCTGCCTTCTTCTCATCCCATCTTTGGTTCTACTCCATACTACAAGGAGCCTCATATATATACATGTGGACATCCCAAACAACATGTCTAACCTCTGCCTACATGCCTGCAAACAGCTGCCACTTGGCCAACCCTTAGGCCAGAGATACATACATGTGGTACAGTCTAAGAGGAGAGAATCAGGGAAGAGACCTGTGAAGGACCACGTGGACAGGAAATTTGGGGATACAAATACTCTTAGCTTGATCTAGAAATGGTTTCCAGATGGACTAGTCCCTCAAAATCCTCATCCTCTCAGGAACAGTATAGCTGGAAAAAGGCCAGATGAGGACCTCTAAAGCACAAGGCCCAGACTAAGGTTCCTGCCTGGATAACTCTAAGGACAGAGTAACTCTCTAGTCAGTCCTGGAAGGTACTTCCAGGATCCCATCCCTCCCTAGTCCTCTTCAGATCTTCACACTCTCTCTAAACTATCTGAGACACTGCCCTGGCTTCACTCAAATCTATCTTCCAGTCTAAACCATTTTATGGGCTCCAGTTTGTCTACTAGATATTTTCTTGCCTATACTTCCCTGCAAATTTAAACAGCAAGCATCTATTCCAGGATATTCCAAGGACTACATTAATTAATTCAACCAATCAATAAATATTAATTGAGCACCTTTTATGTACTAGTAGTTTTCAGTGAGAGTTATAGTGACGAATAAAGCAAAAGTCCCGGGCTTCCCTGGTAGCTGAGTGGTAAAGAATCCACCTGTCAATGCAGGAGACAAGAGTTTGATTCCTGATCCAGGAAGATCTCACAAGCCACAGAGCTAAGTCTGTGCGCCACAACTACTGAAGCTGTGCCCTAGAGCCCTGGGAGCCGCAACTACTGAGTTCACATGCCGCAACTACTGAAGCCCGTGCCCCCGAGAGCCTGAGCTCTGCAACAAGAGACGCCACGACAATGAGAGACCCACACACAACTAAGAGTGTAGCCCCAGCTTGCTGCAACTAGAGAAAAGCCTGTGCATCAAGGAAGACCCAGCACAGTAAAAAATAAATAATTTTTTTTAAAAGCTCAAGTCCTTATTCTTAAGCATCTTAAATTCCAGTGTGGAGAGAAGAAAATAAGCAAAATATGTATTACGCATGTGTAGATGGTGATAAAGGCTAAGGAGACAAATGAGCCAAAGGGAGAGAATATTTAGCAACGAAGAGGGTTGCAATTTCATACTGGGTGACCAAGGAAGAATTCACTGAAAAAGTGACACATGTGTGAAAACTCAGAAAGTAGGAATGAGCTGTGCCAATGACTGGCACAATGACTTTCCCAGTGAAAGGAAAGGGAAAATTCAAGATCTTAAAGAGGGAATAAGCCTGAGTAGTTCAAATATCAGCAATAGAGCTGGAATGAAGTGAGTAAAAGGAAGACAGAAGATGATGACAGAGAGGAAAGAGAAAGGGATGAGAGGAAAAGGGAAAGCCCTCTGTGAGGACCCTGACTTTTATCCAGGGAGAAGGATTTTATGCAGAGAGATGACCTGATTATTAAAAGGATCATTCATCAGATGCTGGATTGAGAACAGATAAGAGGACAAGGGCAGAAGCACAGAGATCAATTTGGAAGCTGATATCATAATTAGGTGAGAAGTGATGGTGGCTAGGACTGAGTGGTAGGTGAGTGAACAGTGAACTTTCAGAAATTTTTGTAGATAAAAGAAGCAAAATTGGATAGCAAACTGGATGTGGGGTGTGAATGAAAGAGAAGAATCAAGAGAACTCCAGAGAAATCAATCAGAGCACCTGGACTAGCCATTAAGTGGGATGAATAAAAGTGTGAGAGAAACCCAGTATGTCCCAAACTGAACTTTTTCTCTGCTACCTCCCCAAAAGTATGATCTCTCCTACTCTGCTTACCTCCATAAACTATACTATCGCCTACACAAGTTGCCTAATAAACAGATGCTAAACTCATTGGTGACTTCTTTTTCCACTATCATCATCATCCTCTCTCACTCTTGACTCATCTCTATAATCTCATATGCTCTGCCCTAGTTGAGGTCCTTATCATCTTTTTGAAGTTGTAAGAGCCTCAGAATTTGCCTCTTGGCCTCTAATCTCCCCTCCTTTCCAGTCCATCTAACCACACCAGCAGGGTAATCCAAGACTGAATAATGTCAAGCCCCTCTCAAAATTCTTCAACAGTTCATCATTACCTACAAAATGAAATTTCAATCTTTGCAAGCATACTGATTTAGTAAGAACAAGTAAGGGGTCTAGGTCTCTTTTTCAGAAGTTATTAAACGTTCATTCTGATATGCTCCAGTATGGAAATCACAAATCTAATCCATGCTCACTTGTCCAGCCTCATCTTCCCTTTTTACTCCCTCCATTGTGGTTGTTTAATACCACAATTGTCTACAGCTCTCTATTTCTTCTCTCTCTTGACATCCGTCCTCTGTTTGCCCATTTGGCCAATTCCTAGCTGTCTTAACAGGTCTCAGCTCTAAAGCACCTGCATCACCAAAGGGATCAATATTCTCCGTAATTCTCTTCCCCCAATCCACATTATATACCTTCCTCACAAAAACATCAAGAAAATAAGTTTCCAGCAGATATCCACTTACTACCTCCAATGAACCATATCAAGCCCAACACTTAACGCCTTCCTTCAGTGCTCCTTAAAATCTTGCTTCTCTTTACCATCTTAATATTATCTTCTTACTACTTTCTCAAAGCACCAAGTTCAAATACACTAAACCAGGGGTTTCATGCAGCAGATACACAGTAAAGATGTGGTGGATACAAGGATAAACAAACATAGCCCAATAAGACAAACATCTTCACTGTTCACTACACAGACCAAGCTCATTCCCTTCCCTATCCTTCGGCTGGTTCCCTTCTCTCACCAGGAATGCCCTCTTCTTTGGTTATTCAAATTCTACCTCTCCCCCATGGACAACGTTTCCCCTATAACATCACCTCTTTCTTCTCTCTACTACACCAGTTCTTTCAGTAACATTTATTAAGCACTTAACTATATACCAAACACAGCAGTATGCCAAGAACACAAAAATATAAAGCTAGGACTCACCCTTCAAACAGCTTAGAGTACAGTAAGGAGAAACACTTAAAGCAAGTACATTAATGTAAATGTCATAAAGGAAACTACAAAGTACAGCGGAAAACATCAAAAAAAGGAACACCCAATCAGCCCTGGGGGGTGGGAAGATTCAAGAAACACTTCATTAGAGAATCACCATTTGGCCTAGGACTAGAAGAAGGGGTGGAAGTTGGCATAACAATAAGAGAAACATCTTTGAATAATGAATACTGTCTCAACTCTCTGGACTAAAAAAAACTCTGAGAAATGATAGCAAACCTAAGTATCACTCAGAAAAAAATTCACCTCAGACTATAATTGAGTTACTTAGAATCACATTCTTAGATCACATTCTCCCCAAAAACAGTTTATGTGTATGATTTTATTTATATAAAGTATAAAAACAAGGAAAATTCTATCTATGATATTGGAAATAGGATACTATATCACAAAAGACTCCTAAAAGAGAGAATTTTTTTTATCAACAACCTCAGATATTAATCTCCCTGCAATGTGGGAGCCCTGGGTTCGATGCCTTGGTTGGGAAAATCCCCTGGAGAAAGGAAAGGCTACCCACTCTGGTATTCTGGCCTAGAGAATTCCATGGACATTCCAGAGTCAATTCCATTGAATTCCATAGTCAGTGGGGTCACAGAGTCGGACACCACGGAGCGACTTTCACTTTCTTTTTCAGATAAGCAGGTGATATCACTCTAATGGCAGAAAGCAAAGAGGAACTAAAGAGCCTCTTGATGAGGGTGAAAGAGGAGAGTAAAAAAGTTGGCTTAAAACTCAACATTCAAAAAACTAAGATCATGGCATCTGGTTCCATCACTTCATGGGAAATAGATGGAGAAAATATGGAAACAGTGACAGACTATTTTTCTTGACTCCAAATCATTGCAGACAGTAACTGCTTTCATGAAATTAAAAGCCTAGTCCTTGGAAGAAAAGCTAACATATCTAGAGAGCATATTAAAAAGCAGAGACCATAAAAAAAAAATAAATAAATAAAATAAAAAGCAGAGACATTAGTTTGCCAACAAGGGTCCATATAGTCAAAGCTATGGTTTTTCCAGTAGTCATGTATGGATGTGAGAGTTGGACCATATAAAGAAGGCTAAGCATCGAAGAATTGATGCTTTCAAACGGTGGTGCTGATGAAGACTCTTGAAAGTCCCTTGGACAAGCAAGGAGATCAAACCATTCAATCCTAAAGGAAATCAACCCTGAATATTCACTGGAAGGACTGATGCTGAAGCTGAAGCTCCAATAATTTGGCTACCAGATGCAAAAAGCTGACTCATTGGAAAAGACCCTGATGCTGGGAAAAACTGAGGGCAAGAGGAAAAGGGAGTGACAGAGGATGAAATGGTTAAATGGCATCACCAACCCAATGGACATGAGTTTGAGCAAACTCCAGGAGATAGTGAAAGACAGGGAAGCCTGGCATGCTGCAGTCCATGGGGTCGCAAAGAGTCGGACATAATGACTGAACAACAAAATAGAGAATAAAGGACCAAAAAAAAAAAAGAGAGAAATATGAAAAACACACAATTCACAAAATTAGATATAAAAATAGCCCTTAAACATAAGAAAAGATGTTCAAATTCACTCACAGGAAAATGCAAATTTTTTAAAAATTGAAATACCATTTCTCTCATCTATCAGATTGGTAAAAATTTAAAAGTATAACAATAATCTGTTGGTAAAACTGTACATTTATACATTGTAAATGTATGGGAATGCAAACTGGCACACTTTGGGAGGGGTATTTGGCAACATCTAACAAAACTACATATGTACTTACCTTTTGAAACAGTTTTATTGAGATATAATTCACATATCATGGGTTTTCTGATGGCTCAGAGGAAAAAAATCTGCCTGCAATGCAGGAGACTCAGGTTCGATCCCTGGGTCAGGACGATCTCCTGGAAAAGGGAATGGCTATCCACTCCAGTATCCTTGCCTGGGGAATTCTATGGACAGAGGAGCCTGGTGGGCTACAGTTTGCGGGGTTGCAAAGAGTAAGACACAACTGAGTGACTAACACTAACACCTACATATCATACAGTTCACCAACTTACAGCATATAACCCAAAAGTTTATAGTACATTAATGAAGTGGTGCAATCATTACCACAATCTAATTTTAGCAACATCTTCAGCACTCCCTCTCAAAAAAACCTCATGTCCATTAGCAGTCCCTCCCCATCCTTCCCCAACCCCTAGTCCCTGGCAAGACTAATCTACTTTTATCTCTAGAGATTTGCTTTTTCTGACCATTTCATATAAATAGAATTTTAAATATGTGAGCTTTTGTGACTGACTTTTTCACTTACTATGCTTTCAGTATTCATCTATGTGTAACATGTATTAGTATTTCAATTCTTTTACTGCTGAATAAGATTCCACTGTATAGATATATCACATTTTATCTATTCATTCATCAATTGGTACAAAATTGTTTCCACTTTTTAACTATTATAAAACAATGCTGCTATAAAAATTCATGTACAAGTCTTTGTGTAGACATGTTTTCTTTTC